CTCTCTCTCTCTTTTTTTTTTTTTTTAATATATATGCTATGTTACTGTAAGTGCGATTAAATAAATGTATAAGAATTATAAGAATTTCAAAATAATACTGTAAAAAATGTACAACCAATAATAGAGGAAAAACTAATGTGTACAATATACGAATACAAAAGTTTGGTGTGGAGGTTGAAATAAAATACAAAGTTACATTCAATACCATATATACATGAAGGAAGAATATTAATTTTCGTAGTGAGATAAAATAGTTCATTAGTTGAATTCATAGCTCACACTATGAACTAGAGCCAAAACCTATTGGCCATTTCATCCGTAATTGTTCAATCCATTTTACATATAACATTTCTGATATCCCTGATTTTGGCTTCTCCTCTGGTTCATTAGAATCAATTTTTTCAGAAGAAACTTTAATGGATGAGGAATCATCATCATTCGCTTGCGAGGATGATGAAGATGTTGCATTTATGGACAACTCTGGAGTTTCTAAAAACGCCTCAGAAACAACGCCTAGATCCGATAACTTTTCGCATATTTCGATGTTGCTGAAAAGTATCAAAAAATTGTTAGTGAATACCGCATGAAATTAAGAAGCAACAGTATAAACCAAAGTTACATTTTTAATCGCGACAGTATTTCGGTCAAAGTAGTGATGACTAAATCAGGGTTAGTCTGACCCAGTTCCTCTATTCCTTTTTCAAATAAGCTGAGCGCCTCAATATCATTTGCTCTTAATTCATTTGATTTAATCTATACAGTGCAAAAAAAAATTACTAAAATTATTTTTATCGGTGAAAAAAATTATACTTAATGAGAAAAAAATATACAAACTTTTTCTATGGATGGGATGATTACTTGATCAACCAATTGCCTTCCAACAATTCCCTCTTCTGTAACCGGTTCAACGACAGGAATATTTCGAGGAAACATTGAAAGAGAAACAACAGAAGAACGGTTACTGGTTGAGAGATTTACGCTAAAAGGCCTTGGAGCGCGTACAGTATCAAGGCTAAGTTTCAATTTATATTAAAATAGATTAAGGTTGATCGTTAAAAATTCAACAAATTTAATCGAATGCTTTCAGCTAATTCGGTACTTACCCATCGTTAACATTCAGTAGATCGATTGTATCGTTATTTTCTGTGACATCGATGTTACTTGATGTACCAGTCACCGTTCCCGTATCGAAGCCTTCGAAGAATGAATTTCTCTAATATAATAAAGAAATATAAATAAAGAATTCAACTAGAATATCTCGCATCATAGTTTATGTTTAAATTGACTTACAGAGATATTTGATAATTTTACCGTAGAATTCTTCGATGAAACGGAAGCCTGGTCATCATAAAAATGACTTAGAATCAGGCACTTCACGATAATCTGAGAAGAAACTATATTCAAACTTACCAAAGTTTGCCTCAAATCTCTAGAAGCTTCTGGATCTAACCGAAGCGTACCATCCAGGTATGCCTGCTTTATTGTTTCAAAGTCCCAAGACGCATATGAGATTCTATTCTGCATCGTCCTAAATAAATGTAATAAGAAGCATACATTATACAGTCTCATTATAGAAACAAGAGTTAATTTAATATTTAATTACATTGTCCTTGAAAACATCGATGGATCTCTGTGTGATCCACTTATTTTCCAACTATCGTATCGTTCAACCAGCTCTTGCAACGATGACGTATTACGTGCATTCCTTATGAAACGATGTCTCAGTAAATCCTTCGCGGTGGGTCGCTATCAAAAAAAAAAAATAAGAACAAAACTGTTAGATCTCGATT